TTGGTTAGACCGAGGCGTGTGAAGCACTTGATTTTGAAACCACTAATTCAATCTGAGAAACTGTCAATGGCTTCTTCCGTTTAACTGGTTTAGAAAAATCATTGATACAACCTTTCATAACCTCCTACACAAATCATAGAAGGAAATCGTATTCTGAAGTTGTACTTGATACCCACCAGATAAATTCGAACTGAATGAGGAGAAATTAATCGACTTAAATATGAAATGTACCAAGTTAAAGTTTTTTCGTCGGCATAAAAAGGAGTTTGAAATAATTCACAAAACTTAAAGAAACTTTTGAAGCCTGATTTGTACTTAGCTTTGGTAGATACAGAAATAGAAGAAAACCGGTCTTTGATGGATAATAATTTTAAATCATTTAAATTCATAACTTGTGTTGAATGCTTCTTGTAGGTCTGAGGAACCTTAACAATCTTCTTTCCTGAATCTAACATGATCGAAGGGAATTCTTTGCCGCCGTTATGTTCGAATCTTTCCCACCGTCCGTAAGTGATAATGGAAGATTCAAAGGCGTTATCGACACAGGTTGGAAGTCCTTAAACACTGTCAGAAATTGTGATTTGGATAGTGCGTCAGCACACGTGTTCAGTTCTCTCGGAATATAAGCTACTTTAATCTCCGCGTTAGCTTCTATCAAACGAGAAATACAATGACGGAATAGAGGTCGACAAATGATGTTTGGGTTGTGACAATTGAAGAGGTGAAACGAAATATTAGAATCTGTATAAACGAAAATCTTCTTCCGACCTTTTTCAATTGCGATATCGATGGCGCAGACGATTCCTAAGAGTTCGGCCCAAAAAATATTTCTGGCAGGAAGAGGAAGTTTAAAATAGAAACCTAATTTCGGATCTGGTTCCCAAATCCCTATTCCAGTGGGACACGCGTCGGAAAAGAAAACAGCATCCGCTTCTGCTATGGACCATTTTATTGCTTCCAACATCCGAACGCCCTCGCAACCGGAAAAATATTTGATGAGCCATCGCAAATCGCCCTGATTCTCTTTATTAAGATAGATGGGTAAAAAACGTTCAGACTTTCCACCAGACTTTTCATAAAGACTTTGTAATGCAAAACGACCGAAAGGCATTGAATTACACCCCCAGTTTACCCATCCTTCCAACGCTTGCCAAGACCGCAACGGTTGCTTAGGCCTTGAAACAAAATCCTTAATTGCGTCGATCATTAGTTCCTTTTTATCGGGAGCCAAATAGATCAACATCTTTTCAGTATCAATCACATGACCAATTACCTCCAACACCGGCCCATGCAGTTGTTTCTTCCAGACCCACGGAAAACCAAGAATGTCGAAAACCATTAACAACTTAGCTTGCATAGAAGGAATCCTGTGGCCTTTGAACGTAACGAAATCATTTGCCGGAGCCACCGACCATACGTCATCCATCATATTGTTCATCATCTTGATGTTGAATACTTCTTCCGCAATCCACAGAACTAACGAAAACACACCGCACCAAATGTGCGGGCTAGCTGATGAACCAAATGTTAGATTATGATCAGCTCTAAATTTCTTCTTGATTTTCAAAATCTGTCTTATCTGATACTGAAGGTGGAGAGGGATAATTCTAAATGCTCCTTCGATGTCTGATTTAAATATTACCACATCCTTATGTTTCTTCTTCATTTCGATCAGGTAAGGTGCAAATGATTTGAGAGAATCGTAAGATACTGCAATGTCGTTTCTGTCGATCAAGTCGTTAGGAGAAGGTCTGCCAAAGCTCATGTTCGAGCATACTCTCATTTTCTTCGAGTCCTTTTTTGATGTCATCAACAAAGGAATGACCTTCATACCGGGAAGAAGAATCGAGAATTCCTCTGAATAGCGGCCTTTGTCGATCTCCTCTTGACACTGTTCTTCTAGTAACTTTTGGTTTTCAAAACAAGTAACGTGATTTTCAACATTCACAATTTCTGATGATGGAAGGGATGAAGATGGCCAAAATCCTTCTCTTAAACCCTTCATAGCTGATTTGACGAATGGCTGATTCGGATGGTGTCGTAACAAAGATTCCATCTTGTCCACATTGATAGGCGTGTTGATCTTACAAAGAAATGGATATTGCTTAAGGATAAATTTTGCATCGATATCCACTTCTAAAGGTGGAGCGTCCGGAAATGGTCTTGCGTATCGACTCGATTCTATGGCTGACGAAAATCCAGATACCGTAGCACCATCCCATTGGTATCCTCTGAGGAAACGAGCTGATGCGTACTCCTCAGGGGTGGTTGCATCCTCTGTGCGACGCACGACATTCCAGAACGTTCTGGAAAGTAACTCCAGTATTAGCCTCAGGCTGACACAAAAGCCACTGTAAATGATACAGAAAAATTGATAAGTAATAAAGGAGGAAAACAACCGACACATTTATGGATCTGTTTACAAGCGGGTCCCGCCTTGCATTCCCCCCCCCAAATTCCACACGTAGCAGAATTGTTCTTCAATCCGACATCCTTTAGCATCCTCAATAGCATAGACGCCTTTGTGTTTGTAGTCGGAGTGGTATAATGATGCTGGGTCTCTGTCCACTTCTCGAATTCTTGACGGACCTGCAATAGGAGTTTGTTGATAATTGGATCTTTGGCGAGACGGCATTTGGCTGACTTTCCTAACAGCTGGAGATTGGATAGGAACAAAAGGTTGAAGAAAAGCTGTGGCGATAAATCTACTATTGAGAGATTGTAAGTCAGGGTGATTCCAATCAGCAAAACTGATATCTTTCCTATCAGCCACTTGCTCCCGAAACGCTGCGTCGTAAGCTGCAATTTTCTCCCAGCTAGCTTCAATACCGTGCGACCAAAGTTGAGATTTGATATATTTTGAATAACTTTTGATAAATTCCTCACAATCCGGAAAAGCAACTTTAATAGCATTCTTGAATATTTTGAAATAATAAATCCATTCAGCATGACTATTGATCTTCTCTGAATAAGATTTCGTCGATACTTCAAGCTTCTTTTCTTTTCCTTCCACAGTGAAAGCTGCTGCATCGTCTCTTCTGATGTTAAGTAATTCACCTTTGATTCGTCGTAAATCGATATAATGGCCAGACAATAAATCTTTTGATAATACGCTAGGAAAATCTGCAGGTTTATAAGTTGCATTGAAAAGTTTGACTGATTTTGAGATACTACTATTATAACCTTTGACATCTGCATTAAATAATTTTGCACCCGGAGATTCATTGAATATAAAATCTCCTTGCTTTCTTTTTGAAACAAAAGCCAACTTTTTGTCAAACTTGGCAGCTTTGGCCGAAGAATCAGATGAATCTTCATCCTCTGATTTTTGTTTCGATTTTTTAGATTTCTTCGATTTCTTTGAAGGTAAGATTTTTCTAGCGACTGATGAACTAGACGATACTGATTTTTCTTTCTCAGCCTCTTTTTCAGCTTCTTTCCGTTTTCTACTAGATCTCGACCCATCAGGGATCTGGATAGGATCAGCATCTTTGGGATATACCGGGTTGCCGTTGATATCGAAGACATAAACATCATCTTCGTGAGAGCTGACTGGTTTTTCAGGAACCGGTCCTTTATTCTTAAACACAGGACGTTGAGCGATTCGATCTTGATCAATGAGGTCAGATGCAAAGATCGACCACTGCTGATACCAGTTGGGAGAGTTAAACGGAACAACTTTCGCAAATGATCTTCTAACCGAACGCATGGATTCATTATTTGAACCGTTGGCGTTAAGATATGCGGTTTTGATCGCCACCAGCTTAGAAGCCTTTTCGGCAGCTGCGGTATAATCATAATCGTTCTCACTCATTTACTACTTCGATGAAAAAATTTCTTAACTCTTCAGAAAGATCACTAGCTAAGAGTTTGTGAGTGAGATGAGGGAAAGAAGTTGAATAGAAGAAACGGTAAAGAAGAGGAAAACGATTTATGACGTCAATCCAAAATCATCTTCTAATGTAAAAAAGATCCGACCCGTCGGAACATCATGTAATGTAAAGTCCTGTTGTTTTAACATTCCTATCTGTTAATAACAAGTGACCAACTTCAATAAATACAGTCACACTCACAAAACTAAGTATAATGAACTAAAAGTTAGGAGTGGCAAAAAAGCCCCTTGGTCTGAAACCAAGGGACAGTAAATTTCAATCATCCTAAAAACCTAACACCTCCTCC